ATGGCATTTTGGGCGTGGAATACCACACCCACCACCGGAAACCCGGCAGACTTACATTCTGATGATACAAGCTATACATGCATTGATAACATATAGGAAAAAATTGGTACACTTTTCAGCTAGGTTGGCCCCCTGGGCTCCCGGTCTATAAGTCCATGTTCGCAAGCGAGATTAATACATGACTGGTCTGATTCCGATTTCTAACTCAGGGGCAAATAACTCGTCTGAAACCGATTCTCTTTCAGTAGTCAAAAATAACATTAAGCTATGACTTTTTAAAATTATCCACGTGACCCTTCCGTCTTAAGTGTTTCGTTTGATTAGATCTAATCCCACACAACATTGCCATAATGAAAGCAAATTTCTGTTCCAAATTATGACTGGTCAATAGTCCGATTAACAACCGATACCTAACTGCGTAACAATATCATTCGGGTTTAAACAGAGCTCGAAATGTTTTATTACGCTCATTTAACCAGGGCATAGCAGAATATTGCAGAAAAACTAATTGCGCGACAAACTAGGCTATCAAAACGGCTACAGTGTAAACCATACTGTTTGGACGAACAATACATTCACCGTTTTAATACCTTAAATCACTGTCCAAAGTTTAATGGAAGACCACAGATTAAACCAAGGACTGCCATGTTGCTGTACTGAGGAGGGATTTGATTGAACGGGAAGAATAGACACACTCCCACTCCCGCAATAGCTCAAGTATCAAGTCAATCCAAGAATGGCCAGAGAGGGATTTCTCAGGCCATTGCTTCAGGGATATTCTGGTTGACGAAATCTAGAGGAGCGAACTTTGATCAATCTAACCCGTTTCTCGCCTTGGTACTGGGGGTTACGGTGGCTCAGTGGGTAAGACGCTGGCTCGCTAGCCTGGAGGTCGGGTGTTCGATACCTGCATTGGCCGAGAAATTTCATCTAGATTTTCCGGCGTGGTTCCCCATTGTCAGTGATGCAGGGCGGAGGGCCTGACAAGGACAGGTGTCTAGTCGTTCGGATGGGACGAAAAATGGATGTCCTGTGAACACATTGACGTTGGAATGCGATATAAGAGTAGGCCGTAGAGCCGCTGTCAGGACAAAATTTACCTCATACAACACTGTATGGCGCATGCCCGTCTTCATTAGCCCAGTTCGGAGCAGAACAGTAGGAAGTTAAACCCCATTTTCATTTCATTTCATTTCAGACGAGTTATTTGCCCCTGACTTAGAAATTGGAATCATGCAGACCAGTTATTTGATAATCTCGCTTACAAACATGGACGTAACAGACTTTAGACATTTACTTAGTCATAGCTAGAGTTTGATGCCATTTTTGAAATATTTCCACGTTACACTCGTCTGTGGTTTCACGTGCATAACAAGTGGTGCACAAAACTGGTTAACTTTGTCACACGTACTTGACAAGTAGTACTGACGCACTGAGCACCTACGTCAAACTTACGCTTTCCACGGAATTACGAAGAATCTTCCTTCCTTTCAACAGTAAGTCACCTACCAAATCAAACCGCAACTATAATGCAACAAACAGAAATAGTTGCAACCTTCACAAAAAGCGTCAGCACTAAAGATATATTAAGAACCAATGATAAACTAAATCCAACACAACCGCTACAACCACATAGAGTGCAATTGTGGAAGTAGACCTATACGTACGCCGGGGGAGACAAACGTCCATTAAACAAAATGATAGATGACCACAAATCGAAAGCAGCAACCAACAACTCAGCTGTAGCTGAACACTTGATCTCCAACCCCCGCCACAGGGTCCAATGGTCCAATGATGTACTATGCAAGAATATAAGCAGCAAGAAGGCGCGCTGATTGCATGAAGCCATTCAAATACGAAGACACATTAAACCAAAGATGAACAGAGATCAAGGATTGTTCCTCCCCATGGCGTATATCACTCTTATTATAATCATAAGCTAAGCATAATAATTTGTATTTTATCAACACTTTAAAATATTCTTACCACTATTCATGAATAATAATCTAAATCATGTAATGATTACAATAACTCCCCTTTTTTTCGGGGCGGGGGCTATTATTTTGCTTTTCAGGGCTGCTGTTACTGAAATTCAATGCACTTAATAGTTCAAATCTTGCCTTTCTAAATCACTATAGCATCCAGTGTAGATACTACTCATTAATGCAAATAGTCAGTCTTCAGGGGACCATTGATAATTTGTGAAGTCATTTTTCGTATGTGGAATTGCTTACATCAACATGAATATATAAACATTTTTCGTTGATAAGACCTAAGACCAATAAAAGTTCATCATTTTAGGGTGTTGTGATTATTAAAACCTGATAAAATCAGCTATCCATTAATCAATTTGTGTTAATTTCAGATAAAGTGATTTATATGCCGTATTGAATGTGGTTAAGTGGGTTAAACGCTGGCTCGCTAGCCTGGAAGTCGGGTGTTCGATCCCTACATTGGCCGAGAAAGTTCATCGGATTTCCCGACGTGGTTTCCCCTTGTCATTGGTGCAGGACAAGGACAGGGAAAGTTGTCTAGTCATTCGGATGGGAAGAAAAACCAAGGTCCCGTGTATACATTGACATGCACGTAAAAGATCCCTCGGCAGTTGAAATTCGATATAAAAGTAGGCTATAGTGCCGCTGCCGAGGCACAACTTCCCTCATAGGACACTGTATGGCGTATGCTCGTCTTCATTAGCCCAGTCAAAGCTAACAGTAGGACGTTAAACCCCATTTCATTTCAGTTTTGAATGTTGTTATTATCATTAAACTTTTATAATCCTTAATTAAGTTAGGTTCCCTTTAGGTACATGTAATTAGAAGGGTATTTCTGGGTGGACAGCAATAAGAGAGAGAGAGAAAAATGGAGTGTAAGTCCACTCGACACAAACTAGGTCATTTCGGGGCTAACACATGGTTCAATTTTATTTCAATAATTCGCTTGCGCATAGGGGTCTTTAGCAATGGGAGGAAACCGGAAAACCCAGAGAAAACCCACGGGGTTGGACAGGCGACCCTACTCCTTGTCACGTACAACCGAGGAATCGAAACCACGCCAATTGACTAAATGACAGACCTTATGATACAGCGCGCACGAGAGAGATATGGTATTTAACGTCCACTCGACACAATCTAGGTCATTTCGGGACTAACACTTGAATCAATTTTATTTCAATAAATCGCTTGCGCGTAGGGGTCTTTTGCAGTGGGAGGAAATCGGAGGACCCGGAGAAAACCCACGAGGTTGGACAGGCGACCCTACTCCTTGTCACGTACAGCCGGGGAATCGAAACCACGCCAGTTGACTAAATGACAGACCTTATGATACAGCGCGCACATTCCCCCTTGTCAGTGATACAGGACGGAGGGCCTGACGAGGACAGTTAGTTGTCTAGTCATTCGGATAGGACGAAAAACCGAAATCCCGTGTACACATTGGCGTACACGTAAAAGATCCCTTGACAGTTGGAATTCGATATAAGAGTAAGCTGTAGTGCCGCTGTCCGGGCAAAATTCCCCTCATAGCACACTGTATGGCGTATGCCCGTCTTCATTAGCCCAGTTCGGAGCAGAACAGTAGGACGTTAAACCCCATTTCATTTCATTTACAGCGCGCACATACTAACCATTTGGCCATCCAACCCCCCTTGGTCAGCATTGACCAAGTATTGTTGTGTACATGTACATCTTGTTATATTTTCATATTTTATCATTGCTTGATAATGACTAGAGAAGCCTAGTCGAAATGTAGCTCAGTAATAAGTAGCAATTATTGTATCCCATAGAATTGGGACCTGTATATTCCAGTTCAATTACTAAATGCCATTGAAACCATTTAGTCATACATGTTATTTTGTACAAATCTTTCACCTGGTTGCTTGCGGTCGGTCTGCGAGCTACCAAACCCTACGTACAGCGAATAATAAGCTAGACGTACCACTAAGTTAGACAATCGCGTAAATACAGCATAACACACAGTGAGTCTGACTCTGATATCTTCCAAATAAATGCAGTGTTGATGCTCTCACAATTGCCATAATGGAAAACCCCAACGATTTGAATATTGTAACATTGCAGAGACAAAGAGTCAAGATCTTTGAAGGGTGGTTCTTCTTGGATATAAATTTTGCTCTGTATGTTAAACCATAGAAATATATACTGACATATATTTCTATGGTTAAACCAGCGGCTGCCAGGCAGGATACGCCCACATTTTGCAAGAGATTGATAGAGAACAAGCTAAACAAAAACCGATTTTTCGTACAATCAACGGCCATAATTCTGGAAATTACGATCCGAAAGGTTTCATCAAAATCGGATCAAAATTATGACCTCTAGAGGGTCCACAACTTTATACCATATTTTTACACTATTTCCGTATGAGGGGCGGCCATTTTGTCCGGCGGTTTTGGTCCGATTTTCACAAATTTCTAACTCAAGCGTCCTTACTGTGTAACGGTGATATATTCAAACGTTTTTTTTTAAAATCGGATAATAATTGTGACCTCTAGAGGGACCACAAGCTAAAAACGCGATTTTCGTACAATCAGGGGCCATAATTCAGGAAGTTACGATCCGGTATGCACAAATATCGAAATGAATCAAGATCTTTGGGTTATAAACATGTATTTCAAGTTTCATCAAAATCAGATGAAAATTGTGACCCCTTAAAGTGATTTTGTTTTAAAAACGGATAATAATTGTGACCTCTAGAGGGACCACAAGCTAAAATTGTGATTTTTCGTACAATCAGGGGCCATAATCCATGAAGTTATGGTCCGATACATGCCAATATCGAAAGGAACCAAGATCTTTGGGAGATAGATCTGTATTTCAAGTTTCGTCAAAATCGGATAAAAATTGTGACCTGTAGAGTGTCCACAAACAAATATGACAATATACGTCTACATGAAAATGTTGGCGTATAAAAATCCTTCAGCTAATTTCCTTTTTGGAAATCTGGCAATTTGTATCCAGATAATTTAAAACAGGGGTGGCATAATATGTGAAAATAACTAATTTATTATCTATGAACATATTTATTTAAGTACAGAACAGTTACTAAATTTAGTAAAAAATAAATGAAATATAATATGTGGTTTTATATACATGATACCTCATTAAGGGTTGCAATATGGGTCAGGTGGCTGTCCCATCTTTTCTGTATTGAACTATGCATTATACTGTAATTTACATGTGTCAAATTTTAAAAGCCAAGACTAAAGTAAGTAATAGTTTATTTATATTATACTTTTACCCTCTTTTTAATGGAAAATCTATTATTTCCACTTTTTTCTTCTTATATGCTATGGTCAGGGTTCTTACTTTTAAAATGTTCATTGTCAGACATTTTACACGTGTTAGGGCAGTGTCTCTCTAATTATATTTATTTACTTTTTTCCCAAAAAAACAGAAACCTCAAACTGATAAAAAATAATTCTGTATTTAACTCAAAGATCTGTTTTCAATTTAAGTAATTTTGATCCACTGTTTTCAATTTAAGTAATTTTGATCCACTGTCTTTTGGCAATACATCCTGTCTTTTAATTGTTTGACTGTCTAATTAAACTAGAGCCCTGATTAAGCCTGTAAGAAGGTGGTTTAAATGTGACATGTATTAAATATAATTAATGGTTTTTAAAATGCACTTATTTTATCAAATATAAAATAACATTTCATATATAAAATATAATATCATTTTTTTTTATTAAAATAATAGAAAAATAAGGAAAATATTAACATACTTTGCACAATAACAATGCAACAATTAAATATATTGTTGTCATTACAAAATATTAAAAATCAATTATATGTTCATATATTTGATTAAAACATTGTTCTTAATGTATATTTACACAACAGAAACAAAAAAATGTTAATTTGATTTAAAATATGAAGTGATTTAAAAACTTAAATTCGATGCATTTGTCAGAATTCGGTATACTAGCTGAAATGAGATTATGGTATAACCTTTGGCAATGAAATTTGAGGTTTATGGGTAGATTCTGGTTTATAAATATATTTGCATATGTATATTTAATAGGACAAGAAACAAATCATTCTAATTTCAATATCAACATTTTGTTTCATTTTTTTTCAGTTGTCTACTCGCAGATTGTGATTGGTTGACATCAGAACAACTGACCAATCAATCCCTTTGATACAGAGAAATTAAGAAATCATTTAATATGCTTTGATTATCAAGAAATTTGATGGATTGTCTAATAAAAATCAAAGCTATCATTAACTAATACTGTTGTAAAATGTCTAAAATTTCCTAATCATTAAAACAAAATTATCCATAATGTGTGATTTTTTTTCTTAAAGTGGTAATGGAATTTGTTGCCATTAATTAGTCTTGAATCATACTAAGATAGGTACTAGCCATATTTCTCATAATGCCTATTGTTTATCTGTGAAAATGTCATTTACTTACTGTAAACAAACATTATTTATTAAAAGTTAATGATCTCCATTTTAGGGATTTTTAAACACTTGCAAACTACAACAATGTTAGAGTTAAATCTCATCAATGAATATCAGTCCACAAAAATGGTTCAATCAGTATTTACAAAGACCTGATGAATTGAAAATTTAACAACGTTCACAATCTTCTGCAAAATAGGATATGGTCTTTGTTAATTCAAGCTGGGGAATTATCTATGGTTGATATCATGGATTAAGCAGCAAAAAAACCCAACAGATATTGTCTGAAAATTACAAATGGCAATCTGCAGCTATCTACAGCTATAAGAATACAGTATTTCAGAAAGGATGCGGCTAGTAAGATTCCTTAAGTTTATAGATGGCCATGATTGGTTTTTAAAAAATAATAACAATATTATTTGTTCATGGGTTTTTTGTTCATGGGTTTTGACATTTTGATATTCAATTGCTAATGATATAGATTAAATAAAAAAATGTAATTTAAAAATAGCTACTAATCACGTGACATTTTAATTTGAAAATAAAAATGGAAGCAAACCTTAAATTTTAATGGTCCCAGTGTTCGTGTTTACAATAATGGTGATATTATATGAATACATTTTGCTTTAAAATGAATGGAATAAAATATATTTAACATAAAAAAATTAAATGTAGTTCAAGAAATAAAAAATATAATGTAAAATAAACTGAATTGTGACAATGATATTTTGAAAGACATTTTCTAACAACTATAATGTGGTTATAAGATATATTTGTTAGATTTGTTCAGTTAGGAAGAATTGACTAATAACTTAACAAGGGTCTGAACAAAGCCATAATTCACCCTTTATTTTGGCTTATGAACTAAACCCTGTGTTGACCGATAATAAACAATTCCAATAATGCTATTTTACATCTACACACTATAAGGCACATCTAATATCTTCAATATAGGTTCCATACAGGTTCCTTCCCACCTTCTATTTCAGATTCAGTATACCTAGCTAAATACAAGTTATTTTACTCTAAACCTTACAAACATTTATGTGGTAAAATACGGTAAATATAGTAATCGATGTACTGATATAGAGAACCCTGAATAGAATTTGTGCTGTACACTGTTTTACTCTGTACCAAACAAACGTTTATGTGGTAAAATACTGTAAATATAGTTGCCAATGCATAAAAACAGAACTATGAATATAGTTTGTGCTGTACACTGTTTACCAGTTGATATCTTTCTATTCTTTCTCCTGTAGTGTCAATGCACTTAATTTTTTCTGTAAAATTTAAAATATTTTGATATAATTAATAATGAGTTATTAATTCCAAGATATTTCTTTACCCTACCCATGACAGCTTATTCAAATACTGTTCGTACCTTTGAATGCTGACCGGAAGATGCCTACACAGGATATTTGAGATGCGCCATTCATCAACAGCCGAAAAGTGAAGTTAGAATATAAAATAACTACTGCACATTCAGGTTTAAGCATATTTTTTTTTCCTTCCCCCTGCCCACACCTTTCACTCTTTGATAATCTTGATTTCTTTCTACAGTCATTCCGACAAATTTTCACTCCAGATCTCAGATATTATGTAGAAAGGAGGTGAAACGGTAAGACCAGTGTACTAGGAAAAGCAGAGTAAAAATACATGAATATTAAAGTAAAGTTGTACAAACCTCAAATGATGAATTGTTATTAAGTTTTCGGCAAGCTAATACTGCATCATGTATACTGACAAATAACCATTCTTTATACATAGTCGTATAAAAATCTGTCTTCTCAAACATTTCACGAATACCAGCTATAATAATAAACACAAAATATACATGGGTGAACATGGTTTAAATCAGTGGTTATGGAATTTTGCTACAGGACAGCATATCTACCACAAAAGACCCCAGTGTCAAGTGTTCTGAATGAGTAAGCATACCCCACAACCTTGTTCCTGAAACAATGACTACAAGTTTTACAACTTCTGGATGTTGCTAGATTGCTTTACAATTCCCAAACTTATAACTAAGTTAATTCCAGTAGCATCTAATCAGAGGTTGTGACACAAAACACTCAAATCAAATATAGCGACCTCCACGGAAATCTGAACATTGACCGAACCTTGAACTTTGCAACTCGATTATCACTGGTAGACATTTTAACTGGAAAGCGTGAGACTTGGTATTTGCAATGATTGAGGAAACTGATAGCCTTCAAGCTAGGTGAATACCCAAATCAAAATTAGTGCCGAAATATCCGGGGTATTTGTGTGAAGGCCTTGATTAAAGATGTATGGAGCTAAATCAAGATCAGGCTTCTATTGAAGATGATCCCACCTTATGTTTGATACCATTCACAACTTGAGGCCAAAGATTCAATATCAGAGACAGATACAGTGATTATAAATTAGGTAATTTTGGGAATCCCAAATCTATTTCCTTTAAGGTTGGATCTCAGTGATTTCGAGATCATTCTTAAAAATAATCCCCAAACCCCAGGAAAATAATATGCAACCAACAAACTTAACGAGACCCTTACATTGGTATTAAAACCATTTAATATTTTACAAGTTGATAATGGGTTGCTGCACAAAACATACACAGGGTTAAAGCAGCATTAAAATCCATAACCTTTATATAGTCTTGTAAAATATATTGCTCTGGTATTATTATCTATAGATTAGCTAAATGTACCTTTGCACTGTGCTAAATAAACTTGGATGTCAATTGTTTTATATTCATTTATTATCTGTCAAAATAAAACATATTAATATATCATTAAAAAGTAACAAATAAAACAATTTAATAAAGGGTATTACATGAATTAAAAGGCAATGTCTCGTAGCTTTTGAAGAAAGAAATGCTGCTATTCAGGAAAAATTTTCCTTCCTAACACTTCACAGTAAATAACTGCATGTTGGTAACAAAATAACCTAAACAAGGCTCAGATATTCAGCTACAGTATCAACATTATAACTGACTGAAGTAACCATAGAAAATAACATACCTGTCCTAGTACTTTAACACCTACAGAATCAACATAACTCATAGTTGAACAATCTATTATTATAGAATGTACATTATCTTGTGATTTATAACCATTGAGATTTAGGTCCAGATCAGCTGTATCAGATGTTTCGGGTGTGGCTTCAACAGCTACCTTTGTCTCAGATGATCCATTCTAAAATATTTAAATTTAGAGATTCTTACAGCAAGGGTTATAACTCCAGCAATAATTCTTTTCCAAAAATAAAAAGACATTCTATCATATTTTTAATATCTTTTTAAAATATTTTTCTCTTTGTAGAATGTTTTTTTTATCATACCTGAATTTGTTCTTGTTTTTCTATTTTCTTCTGTATTTTGTCCCTCTTCCTTCTAATTTTCTTCACTATTTTAGGATCAACAGTTAATTTATATATTTGATTTTTAAAATGCTCAGCATTGGCGAAGAACAGGGCGGCATCAATTCGGAATATTTTTATACCCTCTATTTCATGTACCTGAAAAATAGTGATCCAATTACATGTGACCTTATAAAATTTCATTAAGTCATATTTACTTTAAGCCTCTTTGAAAGACTTATGCATTTAATCATTTTCTCCTTCAAACACATCTTGGATTGTCTGCAAATGAAGACATTCTTCAAATTTCATTCAAATCAGAACACATTCTTGACACAGAGAACTATCTACATTGAGATTAGATCTTTGCCCTGAATGGCTGCCATATCCAAAAAGTAGTATACTATTTTGTAATACAATTCTACTCTGTTTCACGTCTGTCATACACACAAAGACTAAATAAACCTTTTCGATTTTATTAAGTGAAATTATACTCAAAGTCTGCTTAGTGTTTTCAACTAAAATTGTTGATTTAGGAATTGAAATGTCAAGAGCTAATTTCAGCCAGTCAGCATAAGCTTAGTAGAATCATAACAGTGTGTGAAACCTTCAAGCAATCAACTGACAACATGAGTTGACTAATTAAAATGTCTTTGACATTAATACAAATTAAAATCCAAGATAACCCATCAAAGAATGATCTAATATGAACAGGAATGAATCCAGAGAATTGAAACATGTCACCAATCCCAAAAAATATTAAGTATAAATATTTGTGATAACATCTATAATACTATACATACTGCTTCATAAACAGATACATCACGATATATGTCGGTACCATCTACCTGACCTAACACACATGTATATGGTCTGAAATATGAAAATACTTATTTATACCAACCAAATATCATTTTAAATATTTGTTTTATTTGAGAATGTTTTGCTTTAAAGTTGACTATTCTAATGATTCTGTCAATGCCATTACCAGTATTAACAAATTTTACATAAGAAACCATAATTGAGTCATCTATTCGATCCCTCTAAACATATTCTTTAATATCTGTATGGATATTTGTAATGACCAGGAGAAATCAAATTGTATAACCATTCAAATATCTACATGTAACGTATATAAATTAACTAACAAATATATTTCGGTGCCAATCAATTTAAACCAGGGGCTGCCAGGCAGGATACGCCCACATTGTTCAAGAGATGGATAGAGAACAAGCTAAACAAAAAGCGAATTTTTCGTAACATCAAGGGCCATAATTCAGGAAGGTACAATCAGATATGTGCTTGGTCCGATTTTCATGACATTCGAACTCAGCCAACAATACGGTGTAACGGTGACATATTCAAACGTTTTTTTTATATCAGGTAATAATTGTGACCTCTTGAGGGACCACAAGCTAGAAACACGATATTTCGTACAATCAGGGGCCATAATTCAGGAAGTTACGATCTGATATGCGCGAATAGAGAAAAGAACCAAGATCTTTGGGTTATAAACATGCATTTCAAGTCTCATCAAAATCGGATGAACATTGTGACTTCTAGAGTCCACAACCTTGATATACCATATTTTTACACTATTAGCGTATGAGGGGCGACCATTTTGTCCGGCAGTTTCGGTCCGATTTTCACAAAATTCGAACTCAACCATCATTCGGGAGTAATGGTGATATATTCAAACGTTTATTTAAATTGGATAAAAATTGTTAACTCTAGAGGGACCTCAAGCTTAAAACGCGATTTTTCGTACAATCAGGGGCCATAGTTCAGGAAGTTACGGTCCGATATGCGCGAATATCGACAGGGACATATATTTTGGGGTTATAAACTTCCATTTCAAGTTTCAACAAAATCGGATAAAAATTGTGACCTCTATAGGGTCCACAAGCTAAAAACGTGATTTTTCGTACAATCAGGGGCCATAATCCATGAAGTTATGGTCCGATACATGCCAACATAGGAACCGAGATCTTAGAGAGATAAACCTATATTTCAAGTTTCGTTGAAATCGGATAAAAATTGTGACCTGTAGAGTGTCCACAAACAATTGTGGACGAACAGGAGCGACGACAATATACGTCCACATGAAAATGTGGGCGTATAAAAATAGTAAGTGATCATCATTTTAAAAAATATCATCACTGACCTCTGTGACCTTGCTATCACAGTTAAAAGTGCGAACCCAACTCCAGCCATCAAACCATAGTCGACATCTAATAGTACTGTAGCTAGAAAACTCACAGACCAAACAGCCTACAAAATAAATATATATCAATAATAAAGGCCCAACATTCTTGATAAAATACAAATATATAGCTTGCATCAATCCAAAAGCACAACAATTTGTTACCTATGTTAATTCCTTATCAAGAGAAGTGGTACATGTATTAGATGTTTCAGAAAGACTAAGTATCCCATACCAAATGCACAGCACAATTTTGCTTGTCTAATTAAATATTCCTTTGACAACAGTTATTTGTGTGGTCTGGGCCTTGAAGAAAGATATCCATAAAATAATGTAAATATACCCGTCTTTATTAGCCCAATTGATGTAGAACAGAAGAAAGTTAAACTCTACTTCATTTATAATATATAATATGATACTTACAAAATCTATAATCGAAATACTCCATAGTCTCTTGAGATCGAGGAACTGTTTAAACATTCCTTTTAATGCTACTATAATTATAGATGCCAAGACAAACTGAAAATAAAACAATAAGTTTCTGATCCATGATCAATATATTATAGGTTTAATCTATAAGTAGGGATCGGGTTGTAATAATATAAAGTTAGTGGATTTAAAAATAAATGTTTCAATCATGATTTTAGGACCATAACATTTTTGGGTGTAAAAAATAGGGAGATGAATATCTTATGTGATGGAATTTTGACCCAATCACCAATCCCATAAAGACCTCTGAAATGTAGGAACTGTAGAAATTGTGAATGTCGATGACCAATGGATGCTAGGAGATGGTGTCGACAGTATACATAAGCATTTAATTTTAAAAACTAGTGTACTTACATTTGGCAATGATTTAAAGTATGGACCAATAACCAATAATACTACAACTAGTAAACAACTTGATACCATTCCACATATCTATAATATACACAACATATATTCCACATATCTATAATATACACAATATATTCTACACATCTATAATAAATACAACATATTCCACATTTCACACATCTATAATAAATACAACATATTCCACACATCTATAATAAATACAACATATTCCACATAAAATATACACAACAATATATTCCACATATAATATACACAACACACTCCGCATATCTACAATAAATACAACATATTCGACATATCTATAATAAATACAACATATATCTATTCAAATGTTACGTGTAACATAAATGTCATTAATGAATGTTAAAAAAACCTATTTTAGGCTAACATTAGGGTTGATCAAGTCAGACTGAACATAAAATAGGAGACATTTGCAAGTTGTATTCCAGGAGCTTATAATAAACACTTATTACTAATACATTACCAATTAGGTCAACCAAATCTAATGTTGCTGTAGACTCTCCGTGTGAAAAGGTTCATCTTCATCAAGGGTAGAAATCTGATTACATGAACAGTAAATGGATTGACTGATGATCATCAAAGATCAACAGTGGGTGTAGACCAACAAATTTTGAACTAACCTGTGTTTTACCACCAACACCTTCCTGTACTAGAGATCTTGAAAGAGATGCAGCTGTGCAGAATGACGAGAAGAATGAACCAACCACATTACAGGCTCCATATGCAACCAATTCCTGAAATAAATAATCAATTGGATACTGTAGTTAGTTTTGAGAAATGCAATAAAGGAGAAAAATCCATCAAAGATGCATTATGTAAGAGCTAAATCTGCCTATTGTAGGGTTTTTATTCAGCTTCAAATGTTACATAAATTATTATTTAGACAATTATTCACATGACAAGTCTATCATCAACTCTCTAGAACACCCATGGCACAGAGAAGAGAGAGAGAGAGAGAGAGAGAGAGAGAAAGAGAGAGTTTAACATCCACTTGACATAAACAAGGTCATTTAATAATAAGTGCATAGATGTCTTTTAGTTAAGGGAGGACATTGGCTAAATGACAGACCTGGTGATCTGGAAAGGGTTTAAAGAAAGAATTGCTATAGCTAGACACACTACATTAATGTATCATGAGATCAAGGGAAGCAATTACTAGCCTTAATTCATACAGGACATGTAGAACACAATGATTACAGATAACAGCTTACTATGGATATATAATAGTTTGATTTATTAAACATGTTCTCTAACAATGAGGGGAGGTTGTGCCACCTAATTCATGTATTATTCTCAGGCACCCATCATCTCTCTCCCCCCAACCACCCAAAAAATTATTTATATAGATACCAATATTACCACTTATTTTCATGAAACATGGGCAATGAATATTATTGCCAACAAGCAGCATTTTCAAGGGTGGCTTTCAATTTTTCAAGGCAATAACTATGCATCAAATTAACTGGCATGTCTGAATTTCACTATATGACAAGACCAACTATTACAGCAAGTTTGAAAAATATAATCTCAATACTTTTCATATGTAGAACATTGGCAAGATTTCAGGGATATGGGCAGTAACTCTGTGATATATCTTGACATAAGCTATAGGACTCCCCAAACAATCCCAGCAAGATTTAAAGAATAATCTCTAAAAACTTTTACCCAAAATGAAATATTGAATTTCAATAGAGTTCTTCCTATGGACTAGTGGAACTATTTCATTAAATTTAAAAAATATAAGTCTACAAAATCCTGACTTGTAGACTCAGTGTAGAGTGATTTCAGACATTGTGGACATATGGATAAACAGGGTGACAACAGTATACTCTGATATGAAAAGTCAGCATATTAAAATTATCTGATTTGTTAGTTCTGTGATGGGTCACAATGTCAACTGCTAAGCTACAGATCTGCTTAGTGTAATTAAATACATGATAATTTTGTCATATACCTGATTATCACCAATTATTACGCCTACCTGGTTAGGATCAATCTCATAATCATGTTTTTTCGCTAGAATCTTTGCCATGGAAACGGAAATAACAAAAGCAACAATGGCTATAGCAACAGCATCTGATATTACATCGGGTAAAAACCTAAACTGATTTAAAGCCGGCACTGGGAAACTGAAAATATAAACATATTGTCAGATCTAAACTATTATCTGTTTTATGAAGACAGATTACTAGGAATTGGATGACAGAGACTACTTATTGCCCTGTCCCAACTCTGCCCGAACCAGCCAGACATCTTCACAGACATTATAATGAAATCTATGCTAAAACAAATCAGAAATTTTGTTTTATTTAGCCCTTCTTTAAAGAAATAAAACCCTGGGTTTTTTTTAACAGAAAATGACTACAAATAATTTGTTGACCAACAAATACATTTCTTAAACAGACATTTTCAATCCCAGCCCAGATAATGACTATCAGAAATGGATGAAGTTAGATCTCTGCCTACTACATAACAATATAATTGAATAAAATGAGCTTACCCAACTGGAACATCACCAACTATTTTGACTTCAAACAGTTTATTCAGATTGGTAAATTCTGATACCAAGGTTCCAATCACTACCTAATATCAAATTTAAACAGTCAATTATAATTTGCTACAAACTAACAGCGCTTGCCAAATATTATAGGCATTTCTTTGTTTATTAAGAGCATATTGTTACTAAAATAACTTATTAATTTATATACAGCAAGGGAGCCATGGTGACTCGGTGAGTAAGACATTGGCTCGCTAAACTGGAGGTCCTGTGTTGATCCAGGTGTTAGCAAAGAAAGTCCATAATATGGATTTTCCAGCATGGTTCCTCCCTGTCAGAATTGCAGGACTGAGGCCCTGACAAGGGACAACGTATAGTCATTCGGATTGGACGAAAACTGAGTTCCTGTGTCCACATTGAGGTGCACGTTAAAGATCCCTTGGCAGTTGGAACTCAATATAAGAGTAGACCGTAGAGCCGCTGTCTGGGCAAAATTTCCCTCATAGCACACTTTATGCATGCTCGTCTTCATGAGCCCACTCGGAGCAGAACAGTAGGACGTTAAACCCCAATTCATTTATTTATATACAGCCACATATAATAGGCTATTTACCTGGAACCTGTCATCTAATAAAGAAATACCTATATTATTGTGTACCGTATCACCATCAGTGTATTTTTGGTTGTTAGATCTATATAAATAAAATCAAAATGTGTATGTATGTGTTTAACTGTGTATGTATGTATGTTCAACCATCACGCTTCATTTCCACACTCCACCCCCACATGTGGTGTCAAATTAACCAGCATGACCCTGTGAATATTTTAGGCCATCGAATTTGGGCCCTGGGCGAATTGGGCCTGGGCCCCGGGTGAATCACATTTTGTTGCCACTCTTCACCTCCATGTGGTATCAAATTAACCAGCATGATCCTGTGAATATTTTAGGCCATCGAATTTGGGCCCCGGGTGAATCGCGTTTTGTTGCCACTCTTCACCCCCATGTGGTATCAAATTAACCAGCATGACCCCGTGAATGTTTTAGGCCATCGAATTTGGGCCCTGAGCTAATTTGAACCCCAGACGAAATTGGGTCCCGGGCGAAGTCGAGTATCCTGCTAGTAAATAATAAACACTTCAAATGTATAAACCATAAAGCATGGTTGCCCTAATTTGATTTCACATAATTATCATTTGTTCTATTTTGTTGATTATAAAACAAAATGGGGTTTAATATCCTACTTTTCTGCACTGACTGGCATACACCATACATTGTGCTAAAAGGGAAATTTTGCCTCGACAATGACACTACAGCCTACTCTTATATCAAATTCAAATTGTACATGGGACCTCAGTTTTTCGTACCATCTGAACAACTAGATTCTGTCCTTGTCAAGGGGGAATCACGCTTGAAAATCATAGGAAAGTTTCTCGGCCATTGGGGTCAAAACCTGGACCACAAGGGAGCTACCCTTGTTGATTATGGTTCTAGATATTATATACTTACTACTATGAGTTCAACAGGTACTGGCATCTTTAATTTAGGTTTAATTCTAGGGTTGTTGTTGATTAGTTCCTTCACTAAAACAAGTATCAATATACAGATAGCCGAGCCAACTATTGCAGCGATATTTGTGGATGGAATGTTCATAAAAAAATCTCTGTAAGACTGTAAAAAATCAAAAACATTCATGTCTGCTGTATTATGTAAATGCGGTTACTTAATTTATTTTCAAAGGATCTGAACTTTTTCAATTTGGTAAAATTAAAGTAAAGAATCAGGTTGATCTGATAAAACAAATTATTTTGAAAGATTAAGTGCATGTCAGCTTGTTTACTGATTATGGTTTCATTTTTGCTTAGTGTATATCAACAGCTATGGAACACAAAATTGGTTATCCATATTATATGTAATTTGTTTAATGAAGACAGACAGACTGTCATTCCACAAAACAAATTAAATACGAAATTGACAATTTCAATTTTGACTCAAATTTTGGATGATATCGACTTTTTCACGCATTAATCCACGTTAAATTGAAACCAAAACAAATATGGTAGATATTCTTTCGGCTTGAATGCAATCAGATTAAAAAAGGCCTATCAAAATATTTTACTCAACAGTTTCAAACTACAGGTGGTGCTGGCTTGTTTATATCATCAATTCATCATATCTTTGTAACTATTGAATGGAATTGACTCATGTTTGGACTGAATATAGTGCAACAGATTGAAAATCCCCCAAATGATGATCATTGCCTTTAAAACAAACTATCATAAATTGAGGGAAAAAAGAATACATACACATTCTATTATTAGGGTGTATAGATAAGTGGCCAAGAGCAAATATGTGTACCGGTATATAACCAACAAAATATGCATAAATATGAAGTGTTCTTTTCTTGATAAATCTCGCACCAATTTAAGGTTAAAAATGTCTGTCTGATTTGAAATATTTAACCTCTTTTCAACTAAAAATCTTATCTACATCCCTGTATTTGAATTTATATCAAATGACTTCCAACCTGGGCCAGATTAACCATCAGGCTAATAAGGCTATAGCCTTAGGCCCTTAAAAAATTTCAGCGCTGAAATCTGGCTGCGGGTCGACTAAATTTTGTAAAGATACTGTAGAAGACACCAGCAAATCTTGAATAGTCTTAGGTATCTGACACAACTCCATCGCCAGGGATACCACAATTTTGCAAGCAGTAAGGCTAGGAAAATGCAGTTTCTCTGGGTGTATTCCTGATTGTTTGTTTTCAAATTTGAGTGAAGTCTGTATCACTACAGGCCCAGGACTGTACAGCACAGTGGACGCTTACGGCTAGCCCTCAGATCCATTCACTTGATTTGATATGTACGTTTGTTTGTGATTTCTGTGTATTGTGTCTTGTCCGTAGATTTGTTTAGTGTAAATTATTTGTGGTGCAGTCCCCTGCACTTACTAAAACAGTAATATACACATGTGTATTATAATATGTCTTAGTTATTTGAAATAAATTCACAGTATCATATGTGACCCAGGCTGGCAAAATGAGTAGGAATGCACAAAGTCTAATAATGAGCTACAGACAAAACAAGTGTAAATATTGATTTTGAGCGAAATTCAATTTTCACAGATCAGAATAGTAATAAACATTTTAAAACACCTTTATTTGGATGTTTTGTAAGAGTACCAAATTCATATTATGTCTTTTTTCTTAAAATTTCAGAGATATTAGTTATTTTTCTCCGCTCACAGCGGGATGACCAGTTAATCCTCTTACGTAATACTTGGCATCATTGTAAAGTGGCGAATCTCTAGTTTATAAATATGACCAAAGTATTGCCGATGAATTCATTTTAAACGAATACAAAAAAGTTTTAAAACACCCACAAAACTTAAACAAACCCTGCTTGTTGATATTATACACTCAAAACCTTATTTTAATTCAGTCATGAAGCCATTTCTTTGATGATCAAGAAACTAAACCTGATTACCAGTACCTAATCAACAACCTTAATCCCCTGCCCAATGGCACTAAGGTGCTAATTACACTAGGGACCGGGTATCATTCAGATTTGATGAAGAAGGAAAGAAACTAAGCTTACCATCTATAATCTAATACTCATATTCAGTTAATAGATTGCCATGCAGAAAATGTTAAATACCATCAAGATTCATCAAAAACCGCCCAGTTTGTGCTACTGTTTAGTTTGACATCGGTTGTCTAGTTTATGAAACTAAATGGTCATAAACTGGATGACCAATATCAAAACTAAACTAAATGGTCATAAACTAGATGACCAATGTCAAAACTAAATGGTGTTTCTTAAACTAAAGGGTAGCACAAACTGGGCGTTATTTGATGAATCTTGATGGTATTTAATACTTTCTGCATGGCAATCTATTAACTGAATATCTGTATTAGATTATAGATGGTAAGCTCAGTTTCTTTCCTTTTTTCATCAAATCTGAATGATACCCGGTCCCTAGTGTTAATTGACAAGTTATTCTCACAATATACAAAACATAGATTACTAAGGTATGGACTATTCTCATTTTTTCTAATTATAACACTATCATAGGAAATGTGAATGTGTTGTGGATGTTTTGTAATGAAAAGAGTTCATTGCATGAGATAAATATTCTAGTCGGTGAGAAAAAATATATAAACATTATTTTACATAAAACAAATGTTGGATCAAATTTTAACTATGATTTTCTTCTTCAGCACCCCTGAAAACCTTCAGAAAATATTATACGACAAAATAGCAAATAAACGCCATGGTTGCTATGTGATTCTGTTTTTGAACATACCGACATCTTTAACTTGCTTCTTGTCAAAACTTACATTTCTTGATTGGGCAGCTTCAAATGGACACAGTTCAGTCAATTTTTGTCTGATTTAAACCAAACATACATCATTTTGAAGGTATTGGGATGGAGAATGGGGAAAAAAACAATAACCCAATTTTCAAAAATTCTTCATTGCGACTCGGTTTGCCAGCACAGGTCACATATATTTGTGTTACTTTTTGTCATTTTATTTGCAAAATTAGGTCCTTCTTTAGTAAGCAGCTTTAAGCCTACAGTACCCTTATCCAGCCTTGCTTACAACAGATAAAATAGGAAAAAATTGAGTAAATGTACTTACAAATATAAGTTTGAAAGGACCATTATATCTGTTGATGACAACGCCAAAGATATGTTTGATTTGACTGGTGAAGACATGGCAGGCTGCTCCGGTAGTAAAACCACTTATTAAAGGATCCGAAAGATAAACTGTGACAAATCCTAATCTAACGAATCCCATTAAAAGCTGCCAAAAAAAAAAAAAAAACACAAATGATTATAAGCTTAGATATGATTTCTGTTTCTGAAGTTATTCATGATACTGGCATGAGAAAGAGAATTGTGAGGAGTGGATGACCATCTGACCATTTCACATTTACTGGATTTTAAGAATGAAATATTTGACCATGCAAAGTCTGTTTAAGACATAGGAATTTAACTAAAGGCTCAAAGCAATGGTTGGTATTATAGCAGATTTAGTCACTTATTCAATAGCAAAAATACATAGAAATGTAACTATGTGAGGTACATAATAATTAGACGCTTGTTTATAAATGTGTATCATTCGAGCAGCAGGGTATACTTAATCTTTCTAGAAACCTAGCTGATACTACTTCTAATTTTTGTGGAGGGTTGGATGGCCAAATGGTGAGCGTGTGCACGTTGAATCATAAGGTCTGTCATTGAGTCAACTGGCATGGTTTCGATTCCCCAGTCATACGTGACAAGGAGTAGGTTCGCCTGTTCAACCTTGTGGTTTTTCTCTTAGTCCTCTGGTTTCCTCTCACTGCTAAAGACCCCTAGATGCAAGTGAATTATTGACATAAAATTGTTGAAATATAATCGGATCATATGTTAGTCCTGAAATGACCAAGTTTGTGCAGAGTGGATGAGAATTATTGAAATATAATCGGACCATATGTTAGTCCTGAAATGACCTCTAGGAGTGTTTTAGATCAACCTGTCAAAGATAATCTGTGTTATCTTGCACAAGTTTATATTTTCAACCACAAAATTTTAAATTCAATAAGATTCATCCAAATAACCTTATCAAGAATTTAGTTTATCCAAAATTTCATCAACAACTTTGGTCTTTATCCTGTTGACAATCGTAAACTAAGCATGGTGATAAGTTTGAGATTTGTTATTGAAAAATTCAGAATTTAAAAAAAAAAAAAAATCTGTTTAAAACTCTAACTTGTCAAGAGGTTATAATACAAGATTAGGCATATGAAAACAATATGTCAGTTGTTTATGATTTTAGAAAATTATATACCAGTAAGGAAAACACATTTATCAAAGAAAAAAGGAAAAATGCTTGTCGCAAAATTCAACAATACAAATATTAAATAATGGAATAATGATGAGCTTTTATATCAGTTAAACTCAAATTATGTAAATCAAGCCACTAAACCTTTTTCTTCTATTGTCTCAATGTTCCTGATGTGTCCTTCTCATGAATGTGGTCATATTTCTCTTGTCTAATTTTGACATGTGAGTTCCCCGAAATCAATCATCTTTTAATAAGGAACAGGGATAAATAATATTAAAAGTGTGGAGGACTGTATGAATTAAAGGAAGGAATATTCGTCAGATCTAAGTTTCAAATGCAAACAAATCATATCAGCATTACTCTCCGACACTCAAAAAATAATTAAATTCGATGGTCTTACCTGAATGCAACCAACAGCAAATGTGACAGCCATGGCAAAAGCCAGTTGTGTCTGTAATAAAACGTCATCTACGGCCGTGTCTGCTGCAGTACCATTACCCGTTTTATTAGGATTTACATCCAGTGATAAACCTTGTGATGCTACACCTTTATCAACAACAGTTCCCACCATTAAACTCACAACAGCAAAAGTTCCTACAAAAAATCGCAAAAAATATACCAGTATATTTACAGCAATAAAATATGTAATCAAAAATAACATGCCTAACATGTTTATTTACTGCAATGTCACTGTAAATATGCCATCAAATATAGCACTCTTATTAGTTGTTTATTCACTTCAATGTTACTATAAAATGTATAATCAAATAAAACATTCCTAACATATACTTATTTACTGCAATGTCACTATGAAATATGTAATCTAATATAACATTTCCGACAGATGTTTGTCACTATAAAATATGTAATGAAATATAGCATTCCGAACAGATGTTTTTTTATTGCAATGACACTATAAAATATCTTATCATATATAACACTCATATCAGGCGCATATTACTGCAATGTTACTATAAAAAGTGTAATCATATGAAACATCCATAACATGTTTTTTTTAATACTGCAATGACACTATAAAATATGTAATCAAATATAACATTCCTAACATATGTTTATTTACTGCAATGCCACAGTAAAATATGTAATCAAATAAAACATTTCTTTAATATTCAGTTCCAATAGTCCTTTTTCTGTTGGTTATAAGGTACTATAAAATAATAATTTGACCTTGCTCTGCTCAGCACCAAACAAATGTTGTCTTTATGAATTGTTTCAGCACCAGAGAGGTAAATAATGTTTCATTTTTGAGTTATATGATTTTTTTGGATAGCATTTAAATTAGGGCTTGTCAGAACATATTGTTAACATTTTGACTTCTTTTCAATATGACTTCAAGGCTGAACCTGATCCAGGAAGTGAAGCCATTGTTTCCATATTCCGTAATTAGTACACAATAAAGCAGTGAGTTTTGATCCTTAAAAGGTTTGAACTCTTGAACTAAATAAACTAAGATTTAAGTTGATCTTCAGTTACCTAAGTGTTGTCTTATCAAAGGTTGAAGCTTATTCCAAGTCATAATTATTCTTACTTATTCAAGTGTAAATAACCATAAGTGTTTATTTAAAATTATTTAGAAGGCTCAAAATATGGTCATTGTGATCCGTCCAAAATCTGATATTATGTAACTTGATCAAATGTCAAGTGACAAGCCCTTCAAAATTTGGTATTATGTACAGTATTTTCAAATTTATTCTCAATGTTATAACCATACTTCTGGTGAAACACATTAAGCTGATATTACTAAGATAAGAGCCCAGATTAGCTTAATCGTCTAACTGGGTTTTGAATTATAATATAAATATTAATAATTTCTCTTATCTTCCATGTCGATTAAGAAAACGTTTCAAAATGTTCTACTTCAATATTCCCATTGCCCTAGTCCTACAGGGCCAAGAAACTCTCTCTAAACATAATAGCATAAGACTGCTGAATGAAATACATTCACTGGAATATGACAAGAGATATGATTTTTTTTTCCCATTCACACTAACTTACCAACAGAGACATGACGAGATGAACCAAAGAAGAAATAAATGATAACAGGAAAAAATGAGACATAAAGCCCAAAAACGGGTGGAAGAGTAGACAGCTGACCATAAGCCATACCTATTGACAAAAATTAAAATTAAAATATAATCTACAAAAAGAAATATATTACCCACACACAAACATTTAAGGTACATTTAATTTTTACATTCCACTTTAATGTTTTTAGGGAACACGGATGTTGAACTGTTGACTGTATATGGTTACTTTTTCACTTCATGACAGGTATATAAAGACAGGTATATAAAGACAGGTTTGCGCCATACAATGTGCTATGAAGGAAACTTTGCAGAGACAGCAGTTGGTTACGAACTGTCAATTTATTTTTACATGCATGCCAACCTCTACATCAGAACTTATTTTTTTTGTACCATTCGAACAATTAGACGACCTGTCAAAAGTCTGTGAATCAGAAGTGCAATAGTAATTTGTCCGTAAATAAGTTTAAATTAAATTGTACATTATGAATTAATAAGTATCACATCAGTTGATCCATTTCATGGTTCCTGAATCTAATTACGAATTCAACAAGAAATATATTCAATGATATAAGCTGAAATGTCGATATACAAGTTTGATCTAGTATTCTAAGTGTGTTTCTGCTTAAAGATACATTATGTAAGATTAAGATAAAGAGCTGGTTGTTCTTGCTATAATAGTTCAAAAATAGATAATGAAACATGAATATATTGACAATTTCATTCAAATTACTTTATTCTGAGAGAAGTTATGTGTGTTGGAAGATGTAGCGTAGATTGTTTATTATCATAACAACGATACTGGATATATGAGACTATGTCTTGATTATCCATTTTATCGTTACATTTTAAAATCTCACAGACATTCTAATCCATTTAAATCTTTGCCATCTGATGGTCTTGAGAGTTGATTATATAAATAAATGTCTAACTAATCATTTATATAAATTTTGAAGCCAAAAGAAAGACCTTCGCAAGACGTAGATTAAGCTCTTACATAATGCCTCTTTAGCATTCATATAATAAATATAAATTTATGATTAAAGTACCATGCCAACTCAAGTCAAAAAAATAAAAAATGAGTTCACCTTGTGGTATGTGCATAATTCCAACAGTTAATCCAGCAATAATATCAGCAGGAAGATCGCTACGAATACTATAACCCTTTAAAATTGACAAAAAGGGAAAAACTTGGGTGATAAATTTTCCAATACATTTTCCCGAACACTCGAACTTGGAGACTTTTTTCTTGGCCCATACTTTGGGTGTCTTTACTGGTCTATGGATGCTTGTAAAACCTTTATCAAACTCAAGTTGTGTGTATACAGGGCGTTCCACCACCACCCGTTCTTCATTGATGAGGGCATTTCTAATTTCTCCATCTTCAGCATCCTTCATCCTATTCTTAACACCTGCATAAAAATAAAAATGTAAAAGTCTTTAAAAAACCCAACATCTTTTAAGTCTTAGTTCCTTGTCAGCTCTAGATTGTACATGTACCTTCTTTTGGATGAGGCGAAGAAAACCAAAGTTGAGTTTTAATTTTATATTTCAAACAGTTTTATTCAATTTCTAGTACCGAGTACAATGGTACAGTTCACAGTGACTGGTGCTGTTTTATAATCCCATTTTCATGTACATAAGATTGTCTCTCAAATCATTGGGTAACTCTGTCATCCACAATTCTAGTTATGAACTTCTGATTATCTTTACATACCACAATGCTACTGATATCCTTACCTTCAATGTACATTTCAAAGTATAGAGACTTTATAAAATCATGGTTCTTAATATGAAATATTAACTTTCTTAATCCACTATTTTCAAAGATATCATACACATAGCAGTATTAACGATGAAAGAACTACTGTTTCATGAAAATAATAAAAGATATAAGCTTTGTATTTTTCCACTAATGAAGAAAGGTTAGGATGTATTCAGATTTATCATAAAAGTATGTATTCAGATTTATCATAAAGGTATAATTATGTAGATTAGATAAGAAATTCTACATTTTAGATTACACCAGTTAATGACACTGGCAGGTATTGATATATGCCATTAAACATTTTGCTGTTGTTGACCTCATTAGTGAATCAAATACATAATTAAACAACCTTAGATCAGATGCATAATTAAGCAACCATGACAAAATTTGAAGAACATAATTCAAATGATTTTCTACAGGCTGATCAAAGCTCAAAATCTCAAGCCGACCAAAATATAAATTATGGTTATAATACCACTGTACCGGCCGGACAATAACTGTAATTATATATTAGTCTTTTATGTACCGTACGAAATCCAAAAGCTTACATTTTACACAACAACACATAAATATGGTTATAAATAAATAAGTAGATAATGTAATAAATTATTTTTAATAAATAATACTTTACCACAAAGAATACTCACAAAGTTTACTTCCAATGAAATACTTTTAAAAAACTACTTTTTACAAACCCTGTGTGATCCGAGAACTAATGTTTTATAGTGCGTAATCTAAACAGATCTAATCTGGGTCGTCTTTAATATAAGCTGTTTTGTAGGATTAACAAACTAGGTATGTGAATAACCTAGATGTATTGCATGCATGTATAATACGAATGTAGTATAAATATAGTGTTACAATCTAAAGAAGGTACAAAACAAGAGCTCTTAACAGATCGCAAAGACAACATTTGACACTATTCATTGAATATGATTATTTTATATTGATCATAGAATAAACATGCATATATCACAATATCTTTTGAAGTGAGATTATTATCATATATCATATTTCATTATCTTGTAACTTTAATCATTTCTTATCAAGGAGATACGTAGGTAAACCAAATGATCATAAGTGGCTTGGTTATCTAAAATAAAAGTGTCAATCACTCTGCCTCTATTATTTGAAACTCACGGTTTACCCTCTTCATTGAAAGAAGAGATAAAAAGGTTAATTCAAATCCACTTAGAGCAAGTAGAGGCAATAATTTCAAATACTTAGTATAATTAATAAATAATTTCAAATACTTGGTATTTAATAACTAATTTCAAATACTAATTATTACTAAGTGTAATACATGCTAATTAGTAATTAATAATTTAGAATACTTACATGTTGTATTTAATAATTTCAAATACTTAGTATTTAATCATTTCAAAAACTTGGTATTTAATAGTTTCAAATACTTAGAATATAATCATTTCAAATACTTAGTATTTTATAAATTCAAATACTATTTAATAATTTCATAATCTCAATTATAGTATTATGTTAATATAAGTTCACGCAAAACAACTTGAAAACCAAGTAGAGCAATTAACAATGTCAACAAAATTACACTTTAAAAAAAACCCACTTCCTTCACAGCTGTTACAGATTTGACTTGATTATACTCCTAATTGATGTTTATATCATGTACATAGTGATTTCATAATTTCAGATAGTTCATATACTTATTAAATAATTTCAATTACTTATTAAATAATTTCAATTACTTATTAAATAATTTCAATTACTTAGTATTACAAATATAATTTTAATACTTAGAATCAAAAATATAATTTCAAATACTTAGTATTAAAAATATAATTTCAGATATTTAGTATTAAAAATATAATTTTAAATACTTAGTATGAAAGGGTGTTTGGCTCTTATCTTTTGAACCTTAAAATAGATGAAAATGGGTCTCAAAGCACACGTTTATGTAATATGAATGTATATAAACTGATTTATATTCATTTTATAAAAAAAAATATTGTAATTTCTAATCAATTATGTTGCGTGAAATACGTGAACACTGAACAGTCCAAACTGAACAGCACTCTTTTACGTCTACTATTTCATTGTCCATTATTTTGTCGTTTGTGAATCAGCCATTACTAATTACTTCTGCATTATCTTGTTGGATATGTTTGTCTTTGTTCATTACAAATGGTACACGACTCGCGTACTGTTTTTAAAATGTTCATTGTGTCCTAAATATGGGATATATTAGGATCCCATATTTTTACGGCAAGACAACAGCATCAATATTAATTGAAATAGACTAATATTGAATTTAAATTTTTTGTTTTTAATTTCGAATATTATGGACAGTAGAGAATTAGAGATTTAGTTCCTTTAAAGATAGGTTCCCAGAAAAGTATTTATCGGGCGGTTATTTCCAATAAAAGTAGGGCAATTTTGGTATATATGGAAAGTAGAAATATCCAATCTTACTAGAAAAATACTGGATGCCCTGAACAACACTCATGGAGTGTATACAGGACAAAACTTTAAGGGTTTCCCTAATCGACAGCCCGACGATTAGGACTGTCTGCATGTGTGACGTCAAAGGGTATTCTTTGGCAATTGCAATATTTTGAGAAGGATTTGAAGCAAAATTATGATGAATTAATTAGTTTGAATATGTTTTTAGTCCAAATATATCATCAAATCACCCAGTTCGTACCGGTAGATTATATCAAATATGCAGTATTTAATATTTTGAATACCAATATTTAGTTTTTAATTATTTGAAATACTTAGTAATTTTTTTAAAAATTTTGTAGCATTACTGTCAAACAGTTTTGGATTGCATCACATGTGCATGACATATTGCATCTGTCAGTCAATTGGAAAACAACTCTCTAATCAGCCTATTAAAAATGTTATTAAATAGAACCCCTAGTCTCTGCCCTGTACAGCTTAATAAAAATGCGATTTGATTTAAACACAGATCATATTTCAATTCGTTTTTTATAGTTCAAAATTTCATTTTAATTGTCTTTACTACACTAGGATCTGGAAGAGTTGTTATATTATGGGCGTTTCGGTTGAAGTGAGGGATAAGCTAACGAAACAGTCTGTTACGGCGACTTCTTGGCTTGCCATGCACGGAATCAATGTCTGACATCATAGGGTCAAAAGCTGCTCGTACGACCCCTGACACGACCTTCGAGTACAACTTCTCAGATCTTCATGTAGTGTAGACCATCAAAAGTATAAAAAAAGAAATGAAATATAGATCTGTAATTTAATCAGATAGATAACAATGTGTATAATACATGTATGAATGATAGAGTAATGTAGACTGCATTAAAAAAATAAATATTATTGGGATAAAAATGTGCAAACTCATACCTCAACAAAGCATTACGATATGTGTAAAAAAGCCATGATGACTATTAAAGTAGCTAAGTCTCTAACTCGAGCCCAAGTCTTCGACATTGAAAACACAAATTAGTTGTCAATTTAAATGAACATTGATGTTCTGATCTTATCAGGAAAAGATGGGCTTTTGATATCCAATATTTAAGACAAAATAGACATTTTACCATTGGTTCACAAATCGTGTACCATAATGCGTTTCAGCTCCATTTGTAACATAAGGGACTCCAAGAACGAAACTAGACATTTTCCAAAAGTCATGTCAAACGGTGACAGCATATTCTTGTCTGGAGAGCGCGATAAATACTATCGATGTAGACTGGAATAACCATTCGCTAGAGATTGCCATTCCATTGAGATTTCTGGCGTATTTCTACGAACATAACTGAATAGAAATTACAGTAAAAACAGAAACGGTTGAATGTAAATCAGTTTACATGTATATACATTCATATTACATTATTATATGCCTTGCGACCAATTTTTGTCCATTTCTAGGTCCAGAATTTTAGCAATTTAGCTCCTTTAATAGGTATTGATATTTAAATAGATCTTTTATCTAGAATTAGACTGTTAAGACAACCTGACCTAATTTTAATTCATATCCTTTATTCTACATAAACATGTTTTTTTTATTTTATAATAACAACCTTCTTAACTTCACATAGACAACTTTCTTGAAATGATTTCTTGAAATGCCTAATTAAATAGTGTGTATAATCCAGTCAATTGATTTGATAGTTTTTGTATATTGCTTGCAATGTCTGTGTATATTGTGCGTCTTGTCAGCAGTTTTGTCTTATATAACCGGTTGTGTGTTCAACTGTCAACAAAATTTATTAATTTATTTATATGGTACATGTACAGGTACCTACATCAAAGACATATACTATTCAAAAAAAGTAGGGGATATTTGATTTTTAAGTGTTATTAAAGTCACCTAATGAAACTGACGAAGAAACAAATGACAAAATGAAATGAAGTTCACATTCATCGATTTATTCCAAATGATCGTTAGACTAAGTAAGGCACAGACTGACCATTATAAGGGTAAAATGATACCCGGGGTCAAACAGCAAAGTTACCACAGCATCACAACCAAGTCAGTAACGGGTAAATCCTCCTCTGTTTGCCAAACAAGCATTGATCCGACGTGGCATACTCCTAATGAGACGTCTAAGGTCATTTTGGTCCAGATTGTCCCATTCCTGTTGCAACGCAGCAGCAAGTTCTTGGACATTGGCAGGACGTAGTTGACGTTGACGTAAC